AAAAAAATAAAATTACCTTATAAACATTCCACCAGTTTGTGCTATCCGAGACCACACACAAATCCCCGAGAGGGGTCCATTCAGGACAATGAAAATTGACGCCTTCACGGCTAATTCGGAAAAGGTGTTCGCCAACATTGCCGTCCTTCTTCATTGATGCCACCACAACGGCTGTCTCGTCCCATGGCTAGAAGGAAATTTTTTGGTGAAACACATACAGTTTTTTTAACGTGAGGGATAACTACAAGTTGCGGCGTGAGGGACTATATGAAACGAATAAAAGCGGTCTTTAGAAGCGTGCACGTCCTCTGGACAGGTTTATGGTGGGTGGAAAAGTAGTCGAAAGCTGAGAATATAGCAATAATTTAGGTACTATGTACCATTTGGTATGCATCTGCAACTGTGCATAACAGAGGAGGGGTGCATTCGTAAACTATCTCTTTCAAGCAATCATTAGAACATGAGAAGTCCTCTGCATGTGCGAACTACGTCGAAAAGACGAACAAACACATCGTAACTGGAAGTAACAACAAAAAAAAATTTGTTTTGAATGAGAGAAAATGGCGGAGTCAGACCCATTTTCACCAGCAAACGACCTTCTCATATCATTTCCTTGGGCAAATCCCTTCTTCGATTAGATTTCAGCAAACTCCCAATATTATTCATTTTTATGCTCCTACCACGGTTAGAAACGATGATGTGATAAATGTTTCGTGCTGAGCTTGAATTCACCCTAGTCGTCGAGTCTTTATGATGGATTTCAAAGCAAAAGAGAAGAATGAAGAGCTAAATCGGTAGACCTGACGAGGACAGAAGACAGTATTGTGCAATATGCAGCAGCGAAGTTAAGGGAATCAGCAAAAACTGAATAAACTGAGCAGAAGTTTCGGGTCCGAAGAGAATCCCGCAACGAACTCGTTTAACGCATATTTTTTATAATTAATTTCTTGCAAAATCCTTGTGGACTGGAAGAAATCCGAAACGACGCTTATTCCTAAAAAACTGTGGAGCCAAATTCAATTGTCACTTAATGAATCTGCTATCTCACGTGTGAATAGTTTTTCTGTAAGTCGAAAGGACGATCGATGAAAATCGTACAAAGGATCAGACGAGAGTTGCGAGGCGTATTAAAGGAACAGCAGGAAAGAACAGGTACGTTGGGCCGATCTATTTGCACGAACGAATGAAATGAGTGTGAAATGTAGTTGATGAAAAAGCTATCAGAAGCATGGATGGAGATCCGAACTTTGCAAATGTTTCGCGTATTTCAAGTATCTGGAAGGCGAGTGCGCTCGAAAGTGACCCAAATAATAACACGCGGCTAAGAGCAACCACAATTACCGTTAAAATACACAGTAAGCATTTAAAAAGAAATTCTCAAAATGCGAACCATATTTGGCATGTTCCATTCCATCCACGAGAAGTACCGGCTGTCTGGGCTTACACGCGGAAATGCATAAAAGTCAGCACCAGTAACCTGAACAAAAGCAATACAACATCAGCTTCCACTTGCTAGTACAAATAAGTGAATCTCCAGAAATGTTAAAATTACCAAGGAACAATGAAAGGCGATAAAAGGGCAATTGTTACCTGCGGCTGGACTGCCCCTTCCAGAATTCTTACCACCATATTCACCACCTCTTTTCCAGAATGAACTTCGTAAACGGTATATAAATTGCCCTAAATTTGACATGTTACTTGAAAAAAGCCTACTGAAGAGGCAAAATTAAACTGCTTTTTACGGCTAGTTGTCGAGAATCAGCTTACTCAGGGAAAAAGACACAAGTGATGGCAAACACTACCAGTAGCGACATTCGCTGATAAGTCTATTAATGGATTCTCTTTTCAAAAGCTGCCAGTAAGCAACTAAAAGTGATTTTGATTCTTTAGTTATGTTAGTAATACCGTGTCATTAAAACAAAAATCAACGGTTTGTGTACGCGGATTTCTCGGCCGACGGATTCGAACTAGCGATTCAAGTCTAAGGAGTAGCGCTATTTGTCAAACGATATTTAAATCAGTAATGACTTTGTGAAAGTGCAGATCGGCGAAACGATGGAAGCGATCACCGGCAACCACAAGTTCCGGCTCCTTATTTGCTTTGTACTGCCGAAATATCCCATCCTCATTGACGAAATAAGGCGCATCAGCCACAACACACAATGACCCTCCGCCATATTCGTGCACTAAAAATAATCTATTCGCAAGCTCACTCAAGAAACTGTGATAAAAAGCCTATAAATCTCAGCTGAGTAGCATCCGAAGTTACTCAGAGTTTGGTGAGCTCACTTCAGACGGAACTTCAGCCAATTGGCCGTGAATATGCGAAACCGTTATTTTCAGAAACTCTGAGTAGTTGAAGAGAGTTTTAAAAGAAAAACACAGCAGCTTCTCCAATACTTTATCAGGCAGCTATGGTGCTGTGATGTAGTTCCGAGAACAACATCAATGATTTTGAACTTTATTTGAAAAAACATCCGCGTCGGGATCACGTTTTGGATCGTAAAAATCTCATGATAACAACCATTCCATTTCAAAAATGAAATTAAAAAGGACTGGTTGAAAGTGGGTGACAATGTTCACTGACTATTCCGAACACACAGACACACACACACACATACACACACACACACACACATACACATACACACACTCGACAGTATACGTTTTCTGTATTGCATAGATGCAAAAAATGCATAAAAAGTGACAAATGGAAAACCTGTATTGCGCACGGTGGCAGTTGGTAAAGTCCATTCGACCACTCCATCGCGATGGAATTCGCGCTGCACCAGTGCACGACGGCCACTAAACATTTCTTCGGTCCAAAACACAGATGCTGCAAAACAGCTCACATAAGTCGTCCTATCTAAAGAATTTACAGTCTAAAATCACAGCAGTTTGGCAGATGGCACTGAGTCAAGCGGAAGTAGGGCAATACCGCCGGGATGCCCCGAGCACTGTAGCGATCGTGAACCTTGTCTGGTTGCGCCAATAAATTTGTCCATTAAATAAATAACTGAGAGAGGCTCTCTGTCTATGGCAAAGTAAAAGCAAATTAAAATCGGAATTCAGGGGACGGGGGACTTAGGACCGAGAATTCAGCGTCAACTGCCCTCAGGATCTTTAATGCGCCCGGAATATGACGCAAACACAACATGACATGACACAGCAAACTCTGCTAGCAAGGTTGTGGGATTGGACCGACCAAGAACTGCTTTTCAGCTGTAGAAAAGAGCCTGAGACTTGCAAAAACAGGCATTTTTATGCGTTTTGTGCTGTATAACAACAGTACAAAACGTATATTGTCACGGGGTTGTCTGTGTCCGCAGCAACTAGTTCGCAACTTTTAACTCAACTCGGGAACCACAAAAACTAGGAAGCTGAAAATTTAGGGGGACGTTCCCCACCCACGTGTGACCCCGTAAATTTAAATCCAGCTCCCCCGTACCCGCAGGTAACACGTACGGCCCCGTGAAAGTTTTTTACGGCAAATTAATATCTCGGGAACTACGGAGTCTAGGATGTTGAAATTTTAGAGCAATGAACCCCTGACCACGCTCAACCTTGCCCATTCAAGTTCAGTGTTTCAGCGCTCTGGGGTATCATCTACGCGCTACTGAAAGTTTTTACGGGTAAATTATTATCTCAGGAACTACGAGGTCTAGGGAACTGAAATTTTAGGGTAATGACCCCCTGCCCATGTCCAATCTTGCCTATTCAAATCCAGCGTTCCCGCGCTCTTGAGTATCACCTACGGCCTTGTGAAAATCTCGGCGGGTAAACCATTAGCTCGGGAATCATT